CCAGCTCCTCCTTGTTCTCCAGCTTCACCGAGGCTGGATCTGCAGACACAGAGGAAACCCCTGTTAGTGCCCACAACAGCCATGCAGGCTCTTGTCAGTAAAATGCCCATAAATGTGCCAAGCCCAAAATGTTCAGTTTGAACTGAAGCTGTTCTAATTCTTTCCCATGGAACAGGGGGTGTTGGTGTGTCCTGGGTGCAGGGAATGCAGCTCATCCACCAGCTCCTCTTGGGATTTTAATTCCTATTTTACACAGCACCGGGGGCTCTCACTGCAGCATTCCTACAGACAGGCTACATCCTGCAAGGAAACTGGGGAAGGAGAAGGATGCAGGTTCTTCTGGGGAATCACAGCTGGAGTGTAAAATGGCAGAAAAGCTCTGAGCACAGGGAGCTCCTGCAATCCAGAGAATTATTCTAAAGGTTTGTGTGCTGACATTAGGGCAAAACTCCTGTTGTGTTTTCATCTGCACCTGGGGAGGGCAGTGTCCAAGGGAAGGACAGAGCTTCCCAGGCCAGTGCAGGAGGATTCCCTTTGGCACAGCCATGGGGCCCAGACCAGCAGCGCAGGCACAGGCGGATCACAAGGGTAGCAGTTCCCAATCCTGCCACACGAAGGACAGGCAGGGAAGCACTTTGGGAATGTGCCCTGTTAATGTGTGTGCATTTCCCAACTATTCAAACATCCAGCTCCATGCTGGTGTGTTTCCTTGCTTCCCTGCATCTTGGAGCTATTGACTGATGTATAAAATAGAGTTTTCTAGTTTTTTACTCTGCTCCCGTACCTGCAGCCCAGGGGCTCGAGGGAAGTTAGAGACCTTGCCTTGAGCCCAGGAAGATTCCAGCTGGGAGCTGTGGCAATACCTGATCATTGTGCTAAGCTCAGGAAGCAGCAGGAATGGAGGAAAACAAGCCAGATGTGAAAACTTTCCCTGTTTTTTTAAATAACGATTCCATATGAAAGCGCCGCAGGCTCTGGCGCCGCTGGCACGTGAGTTAATCCCTGGCACTGGGGGAGGGCTGAAGTTTGGAAATTTCGGGGGAGGGAGGCCTGGCCTATCTGGGGATCTGTGCAGGGTGTGAGCGGGGCGTGCCGGGCGCTGGGCAGGGATAGGCTCCAGGATGCAGGGATAGGCTCCGGGATGCACCGGAGCAGTTCCAACCCGCCGGGCAGGTTTGGCAGCCCCGGGGGGGGGGGGTCGAGCACGGGGCTCCCTGCACGTGGTGTCCTGTCGGGGGTGGCAGCCCCAGGTGAGGTGTGTGTGTGTGCCCCAGACTGGCCCAGACTGACTGTGCCTGCCAGCGTGGCTGAGAGAAAAACTAAGGGACAAGGGACAAGTTCTCCGTTTGCTTTGAACCCCACGAGGTCCTTGGCCTCTCCTGTCTCTGCAGGACCCGCTGGTGATCTGAGCCAGAAGTGATGAAAGCACAACTCATTGCAAGAGTCAACAGTTTCACTGCTCTTGTGCAATGGAAATTGGAGGAGAGTCAGGATTTCGGGAGGCCAGTCTCAGGTAGCATGGCACATTTCATTCCAGACTTTGAATATTGGGATAAAGATCTCAAAATGGATTCTGGAATTAAATGGATTCTGAAATTAGTGCTGGAGGTAGAATCGCAGAATCCCAGCATGGTTTGGGTTGGAAGGGACCTTAAAGCCCATCCAGTCCCACCCCCTTGCCATGGGCAGGGACACCTTCCACTAGCCCAGGTTGCTCCAAGCCCCATCCAACCTGGCCTTGGACACTTCCAGGGATGGGGCAGCCACAGCTTCTCTGGGCAACCTGTGCCAGGGCCTCCCCACCCTCACAGGGAAAAATTTCTCCCCAATACCCCAAGTAACCCTGCCCTTTCTCAGCGTGAAGCCATCCCCCCTTGTCCTGGCACTTCAGTCTCTGTCCACCTTTCTTCTCGGCTCCCCTCACACACTGGGAGGCCACTGGTGAGATGAGCTGCTCTGGTCTGTATTCCCTGGAACATTTCCATGGTGACTTTGGAAATTTTAGTATCAGGAGTTACCTCTAGAACTGAAGGGATCAGACACTGTGTGTGAATGGGCACTGAGGGGGGAAAGGACGAAAAAAAGAGCAGGGCTGGGCTCTTTGTGGTGCTTCCTGGTGCTTCTGGATTCACCTGCCACTGAGCACATGGACCCAGGAGCAGCAGGACTGTGGTGTGGGGCCCTTGGGTCACTGGCAGAGCTGATCTGCCATGGGCTGTGCCCTGAACAGTGTCAGCCAGGCTCGTGGGGGCCAGGAAGTGGCACTTCTTACTGCCAATGCAGTTCATAATTGCCTCCTCTGCCTTGTTGATGCCCAGCTGGAACTTGTGCTGGTCCGGGCGGAGCCTCCGGCCTCGATGGTAAAACACCAGCGCGAACTCGAAGTCCCCCATGGTGTAGAGGGTCTCTGCCTTTTGGTAAAGCCCCTGAAATGACATTTGGGAAAAGAAATTATTAAAAAGAGGGAAAAAAGTTTCATGGATCTCAAGTAACTCCTGACAGGCAGAAGGGAGAACCCAGGGGTGTCACAACCTGAGTACAACAAACCCCAGTCCTGGAGCTGACTGAGCACCTCCACTGCTCCAAGAGCAGCAGAAACCTCAGGAGTGTTTGGAGTGAGCTGTTCCCTCCCAGCTCTGCCTCAGACCCTGCAGGGTCTCACAGATCCAGGCCAGCCCTGGTCCCCCTGCTCTCACCACTTCCTCTGGTTACCTCGGTGAACGCTTTGTCTCTTTGGAGCGAGGCTTCAGCATCCTTCAAGGAGTTTTCTGTGTCCCCAAGTTTCAGGAAGCATTTGGAGCGGGTGATAAGGCACTGCTTGTCCCCTGCCCTCAGCTTCAGTGCCTGGAACCACAGACACGGACACGTCACCAGTGCTGGCTCAACACCACAAATACACAAGTGCAGGTATTTGGTGCCACCTGCACAGTCGCCACATGGATCTTGATGACACATGATGATAAAACCACAGGATTTTTACTGAAAAGAGCCTTCCCTTGCAGTTCACAGGTTCCCTGTGCTGCAGGGGCTGCCCTGCCTGGGTCACCCCCTGGTGCCGAGACCTCCTGGGGACACGTCCCTCCGAGCCACCTCCCCTCGCCTCGGGTGCCACGTTCCCTCCGCTGCCTCTTCCCCCTCCTGAACCGAGTCGCGGCCGCTCCCTCTCGAGGCCCGTCCCGCCCCGGGCCGCTCGGTGTCCCTGGGCTGCGCCCCCGCCGCGGCGCCCTCACATTGTTGAAGCAGCCCAGCGCCTTGTGGTGCTGCCCGCGCCGGCTTAGCGTTGTCCCCTCGGTGATGAGGCTGCCGAAGGTGACGATGGGCCCGGGGTCCGGGTCCGCCATGGCCGCGCCGCGCCGCCGTTGCCGGGCAACGGCCCCGCTTCCGGTGGAGGCCCCGCCCCTAGAGTGACGTCAGGCGCGCCCGGTCAGTGCCCACGTGGGTCCCGGTGCCCCGGGAGCGGCCCCGGTACCGACCCCGCACCCCGGCCCGGCACGCCGGCCCTCGCTGCTGGGCAGGCGCGTCCGCAGGCCGTGCCCGGGGCTGCCGGCGGGTGCTCGCGGTGTCTCTGTCCCGTCCCGACCCGGTGCCCGTGCGGTTCTGTTCTTCCACCCGCGTTCCCGGAGTCCTGCGCGGCCCCGGTGCAGCCGCGGTGCCGAACGCCGGGCAGAGCCGGTTCCTCTGCTCCCCCGGCTCACGGCCGGTGCCTCCTGCAGCGGCAGCACGAGGGGCAGCCGCCGCCCCCCTGCCATCGGTTATTCGGGACCGTTTGGCGCTCGCGGGTGGCCCCGATACCGGTTTCGCCGCTGCAGTGGCCAGTCCTGGCCAAATAAATGACTAACGGGAGATGCTGATGGTTCCCTCCCGTCCGTGCTTCAGTCCCGACTTTATTTTGGCGCTGGGTGAGACCCCGCGCCAAGATTCGTCTTGGAGACACTTTGTTCCTGCCAAGTGACTCACAGTGGGGGGGGGGGAGGTGTCTGTCCCGCTCGGGGCTGGTGACATTTAACGTCACCATGAGACAGATCCGCGGTGCCGGGGCTGTGCTTACCCGGCCCCGGCGGCGGGGGCGGGAGGCGGGGTGGGGGTCACGCCAGGGTGGGGAGACACAGGCGGCCGAGCCCCGGAGTGGGAGGCGGGAGTGACACACCCCGTCCCCGGGGAGCCCGCGCAGGAAATTTCAGGCAGTTGAAGCGTTCGGGAACAGTTTTCCAGGGATACTTTCCCCACTGGCAGCGCCGGGCGTGACACGCTGTGCCCAGCGGGGTGGGCAGGAGCATCGTGTCCGCGGGGCTGTCGCGGGGCTGTGCCCAGTCTGGTGACACCGTCACGGGGGCACAGCAGCCCCGGCCGCCGGGGCAGAGACCGCGCCGGGTGCCCCTCTCAGCGCTGCTGATGGGCGCGTTAGTCACAGGCTGGAAATACCAGGGAAAAAGTGAATGTGGGATGGGTGTTTCTGGGAAGCAGCAGAGCCGTGACGGCCTCCGTGAGAGGCTGGCGAGGAAATGGCGCAACGAGGAGGCAGGACGGCCTTGCCCACAGCGTTCCCGGTGCCTCGGGAAGCTCCGTGAGCCTCCCGTTGGCCGCTTCCCCAGGGATCGCGCTCCAGCGATGCCGCCCGCGCTGGGACCGGAGAACCGGCTGCGGCGGCGCCGCCACTCCCCCGCGGGCACCGTCCGCCCGCCCAGTTGCAGCACAGCCCGCGAGAGGCTCCTCGGCCCGTCCCGGCGCCGGGGAACAAGCCCCGCTCCCGGTGCCGGTGACGTCATCTGGGCCCCCGGTGACGTTAGCGGCGGGGGGTCACGGCCGCGAGCGCCGCCGGGGGCGGGGCGGAGGGTGGGCGGGACTACAACTCCCACAAGGCCTCGCGGCCGCGCCCCACCCGCGACGGCCAATGGGCGCGCGGCCGGCGCTCAGGCAACGTGCACGTGGCGGCCGCGGCGGCCAATGGGCGGCGGCGCGTGCCGTGACCCGATGGGCCGAGGGGGCCGCGCTCGGCGAACAAAAGGCGGCGGCGGCGGCGGCGGGAGCGCGGCCGGGCGGGAGCGGAGCGGGGCAACGCAGCCGAGCGGCGCCCGGGTGAGTGCGGTGGTTCGGGCCCCCCCGCTGCGGAGGGGGGTCCACTCGCCCCGGAGAGCGGCTGCGGCTCTGCCCGGCACATGGCGGGGCCTCGCGGGGCCGCTCCCTGGGGCGGCAGTGGAAGGGGCCGCGGGTCGGGAGCCGCCTTGGTTCTGGCCGGCCCCGGCCCCACCGGCTCGCTGGAGGGCGGGCGGGCCCCGGGAGCGCCGTGGTCTCGCTCAAACGGCGGGTGTGCGGCCGCGAGCGGGGGCGGCCGGAGCGGAGCCCCGCGCTCCCGCCGGCACGGCCGCCCTGACCTTGCCGGAGTGTCCCCGGAGCGGTGCCGGTGGCCGGGGCGCGCTGGGGCGCGGGCGATGTGCGGGGGCACAGCACAGGCATCAGCGAGGGGCTGGGAAGTTGCCCTGGGCTGTGCCCGCGGCAGCTCCGCGCTCCGGCTTTGGGCGTCTGTTCCCTTCCCAGCCAGGTCCAGGAGGGCCTTGGCCAAAGCACCTGCACCCCCTGCCAGAAGGAAAATCCCTTCGTGGCCATCCTGGAGGAGCAGCCCCGTGTCGGGATCTCTCACTGTTCTCGTACGAGCAGGAGGGTGCACAGCGCGTGTCGCTCCCTTCCCGGGACAGGTGGCTGTGTTCCAGCTCTCTTGTTTGCTGCCTGCAAACACCTCCTGTTTGTCTTGCTGCTTTCGAAATTCTCATCCTGCTGTACAGACTCTCCCATCCCTCTGTTGAACTGTTTGTTTTCTGCAGCAGCGTCTAAAAGCTGAAGGCTGAGGTGCATCCTGAATATCCTGTTTGTAGGTGTCTGTACTTGTTCTTATCCCTAGCTGGGTTTGGAGCTCAGAGCATCAGCTCTGCTGCCCAGTGCTGTGATCCAAACCCTGTTGAGTTTCCTGCATGTGAGGCTCTGCAGCACTCTCCAGGTAGCAGGGCTTTTCCCACCGTTCCAGTGCTGCCTGAAGCGATTGCCAACAGCCACGGTTGGGAATTCTGCTAGGGAACCTGCCACTGTCTCCACTGTGCAAGCAACATGGGAAGGATTTAAGGAATAAACACGTTAAGGACCTTCCCAAGGCTGCAGAATAAGATGGCCTTTAACGACAGGGTCCCCAATTCCCTATTTGTGGCACTGGGCACTCACCAGGTGTGTGGAGCCCGTCCACTGCTCTCCATTGGCCACACGTAACCCGGTCTCTGGTCCCTTCCCCTCCCTGGCTCCCGCGTTGCTCTCAGGGGTTCCACATGTTCAGGGAGCCTCCCCCAGAGCTGGGCAAGCAGCACCTGCTTGCATCACCCCACACAGCATTTCCCAACTGCAGCTGTGGGACCATGACCCTGCACTGGCCCTCGCTGTGCTCTGCTGAAACATGGGCACTGCCAGGTGGGAGCTGATGTAACTCTTCGTGCTGCCGTGGGCTGAAAATACTGGCTGAGCTTGAACTGCGTTAATAAGTGACCCGGGATGGAGTGGGAAGGCTGCTTTGCCATATGAGTTTGTTGACATAATTCTTGGGAGAGCGGGTGAGAAATCTTCGCTGGGGAGGGTAGTCCTTTCCTCCTGGCAGAAGCACCGTTCAGGTGGGATTGGAGCGTGGTACTGCTCCAGATCTAAGAGAATTCCATGCCTGAGCGCCATGTTCTGTCTGAACTTGGCACTTCACAGACTGGTGAAGTGGAGCTACACCTCTGCAACCAGAAAGGGTTTGCAGAAAAACCAACCAAATCACTGTCTTTAATGCCTTTTTCTCTCCTTGCAGAGCAGACTGTGTTGCACTGAGTTAATGCCACATCGTTGATCTCTTGGGAGTCAGGGAGACTTTACCTGGATTCTGTGTCAGGAATGCCTCCCTGTTTCTCCATTTGTGTTTCCCTTGGATCTGCTGCAAGTTCCCTTCAGCTGGTATTGGGGCAGGTGTATCAGTTGTGTCACAGCAAACACAACATCCAGCTTTAGGATCCTTGCCTGCCTCTTGCCATCCCGCTGTTTTTCTCTGTCAGTACATTTGGGGAACATTTTCCAAATATAAACCTGTTAGCATATTTGACAGGTAATGTTTTGAGGGAATAAGTGCTGCTGAGCTCCTGAAAACGTGCTCTAATCCACGTCTCTTACTTGCTCTGGACTTGCCAGCAAAGGCTGGAATCCAGCACTTCTTGAATCGGTGGGTATGGATGATGAGAGGTCTCTGAGGTGTTGCAGGGAAGCTGTTTGTGTTGGAGCCTCAGTAAATGAACACAAATCTGTGGCACTTCCAGAAAGAACTTATTCTTAAAGCAGTCAAACCACTTGCACTTGTCAAACCAAGACAAGGGGTGTGACATCCACTGGAGAGAGCTCTGCTTCAAACACAGGAATGGCCCCGGTGACACGGGCTGGCCCCAGAGCTGATCCTGCTTTGAGCCTGAGGTTGTGCTGGGTATTCTCCTGAGTCCCCTCTAACCTCAACTATTCTGTGATCTGATGATCTGTCACATTTTAACTGAAAACTTCACAGCGTATGCTGTGGGAAACGCTTTATAGTGGCAGTAGATCATCCTTTGCTCAGCAGATTTGGCCAGCAATCAGCTGTGCTTCCATCACAGACCCTTCAAGGGAAAGGCAAGGCGGTTTATAACTGGCTCTGAAAGGCTGTGATAATGCAGGTACAGTGTCCAGGGAATCATCACAGGCAGCTGGAGAGGCAGCACAAGTTAGAAACTGAATTCCATCTGCCCCTGTCCAAAACCTCGTGCGGCGGAGGTTGCACAGTGGGAACAGACTGGAAAAGGCTTTTTATGCTGCTGACATGAATCTACCCTTGTGTGTGGTGGGTGCAAGGTCTGGGACCCGAAGTGGTGAGAAAATTGCAGGTTCTTGGCTAATGAACGATGAACAGAGCAATGTCTGGGTGTGAAGTGGTGAAAGAGAACGTTGTTACCCTACAGCTTGTGTTTGAGACAGAGAGAAGGACTTTTCTTTCCTCTCTTTCTTCAGAGGTGCAGCCATTGCTCTCTCCAGCACTGGTTGGCCCTGCAGGTGCTAAGCATGACTGAAAACAAAATTATCCCTGGCAGATGAGAGTCTGAACCTGCCCCATTCCTGGGAAACTGCAGAGACTGTGTTCTGGTGACTTGAGTCCGTGCCCCTGCTTGGTGTTTGCAGAACAGATGCAGGAAGTTAATGGAGGTGCTCTGATCTGATCTCCCTGGTTGTCAAGGGACCTGCACGAGCACACACAGCTGGAAATTGCTGATGCCCTATGTATTTTTTTCCTGCTGATCTCTTAGCTTAACAGTTCAGCAGACTGAAGCAATTGTTTTGTGCTGTGTGTCCCAACAGAAAGGCGGGGTTGGAGCAGCGGAAGAATGGAGTGAGGGGCGTGATTAAAGACTTGCCAGTGTTTAGGAAATCTGAACCTCGGGCAGATAAGGTCAGAACAGCCTCGTTCCTGCTGTTCTGTTGCCATGACATGAGGATGTTGTTATTTTTCATCTACTGCTATTGTAATAATCCTCTAGTTTCCTTTCTTTGCCCCGGTAGCGTTACTGCAAAAATGAGGTGATGACCAGGAATGGTTCTGAGAGGAGCAGCTCCACAGGGCCACTCTCCTGGGAGTGCCCCATGCATTGTGTCCCTCGGGTTTAAGAAATCCCGTTTCTGTCACTTTTTCCCCGCTGATGGTTTTTATAGGACTGTTCTTGATAAGACCTGAGGGGTATCCCGGGTCCAATTTCTTGCAATTGCAGGTGATTCGTTGACCTAACTGGCCTCAGCTTGAGTGGTTTGATTTGTAAACGTGGACTGAAGTTCTGCAGTGCTGTTCGGGGGCTCTGTGACTGCCCTGGAGAAATGGCGAAATACTTGGGGTTTTTTAAAGAAATATTTTTGCCACTTTCTTTTACCCATTTGCTGGTGCTGCAGTGAAATGTGATGCTGTTTCTCTGGGACTGGGACTGGCCCTGAGCAGATTGTGGAGTTGATGGATTTGAAGGGGTATGAATCAGGAGTATTCCAGCTTCCTCCCAGGCAGAACAAATGGCTGCAGGCACCATGGGAGCAGGGTTTGCTCTCAGAAATACCTCTGTTTTAAAGCAAAAATCCTAATGGAAAGTTTTCAGCACTCTGGTATGGGGGGGGTGTGCAACTGTGAGGCAGGGCAGCAGTGTGGGGTCTGTGGGAACTGAGTGTGTCTGTGTGTGCCTGCAGGACAGGGCTGGGATGTTGGTTTGGAGTTTGGTGGTTGGTCTCCTCTGGCTGCTCACAAGAACTCCCCTCTCCTGGGGCCACGCTTTGGCACTGGGCTAATGAAACAACAGGGCTGTTTTCAGCAGGCAGTGTTAGGGGCAAGTGTTTCTTGCCCCAGAAACATTGCCCGATGCTGTTTTGAAACAGGATTAAATTGGAAGCTGTGCTGCAACTATATGGGGTTTTACATCATAACTCCCTGAGAGCAGCCCTGCTGGTCTTTAAAGTCTTTTGCCCCTTCAGTAGCTTCGCCTTTGTGATTTTTAACCCTGGAGCTGCATTTGAAAAGATGTCAGCAGCAGATCTGACTGCTGGTCCTTAAGCTTAGTTATCAGCTTTCAGTAACAGCACTTAGTCCAATCTGGTTTGTTCTGGAGGCTCAGGGAATGCAACCTCCCTCCTACTAATGTTGGGATGGACCAAACCTCCTCCTTCCTGCTCTAGGGAAAAGTTCTTTATTTCTAATGATGGCTAATTATTCCCTGGGTGAGTAACCCAGCTGATTACTAATGATTGTTTCCCAGAGGGCTGCACAAGAAATAACTGGAATTTTTAAACTGTTTGCCTCTGTGGGTCTCTGTTTTGTGAGGACAGGTAGTGAGCCTTACTGAGCCATTCCAGTACTTCACTGCCCAGGTGCTCAGATGGAATCTGAGCTCCTTCTTTCTGTGTTGGTGCCTTTCTGCTTTGCAGCTCTCCCAGAATCTATCCCAAGTGTGCTTTTGTTTCCTTCCACATTGGCTGTGCTTGGGGAACAGGAACATGACCCCAGTCACTCAGAATGCAGCAGGAGCCACTGCTCAAGCCTCCCTGTCAGCAGTCTGACCCCTCAGACATACCAAACCCACTGGCTGATCACAGGACTCAGTTCTGATGTGTGACAGATGCAGACAGGGTCACTGGAATGAAATATTCTTTAAAAAAAATGTTTATGGCAGCTAAAAAGAAATGCATCTTTGACACCTATGACTTTGTTGCTGCCTATTGGAAAGAAAAGTTACAGCCTTGAGGTCAGAAGTCATTTCCTTACATCAGTTTGAAAGACAGTCAAAAAGAGAACAAAACCATCCCCCATCCTAATTCCATGGAATTAGGAATTTTTTCTTAAACCCAAACAAACAAACAAAAAAACCCCCAACCTGTCTAACCTTAATCTTTGTTGTCTTGAGCATCTTATTCTGTCGGGTGTGAAGCTCCTTCCAAGACATCTGGTTTGGAAACAAGAAAAAACAATGATGTAAACGTGTTCTGGTTTTGGTAATCCTGGCAGCGTTTTCCTTTCCCTTTAGGAAAGGGATGGGGGTTGCTGATGTGCCTGCAGTCAGGCTCACTCTGGGAACGTGGGAGGCTGTAGGGAAATGGGTGGGAAGGAGGGGTTCCCTCCCTGGAACAGCACCAGAATAAGTGATAGATGTGTTACACAGACCTCCCCAGGAGCAAACCTGGGGTGCTGCAAGGTTTGAGAGCAGCTGCCTGAGCTGGACACCCCTTGGATGCTCCAAGCAGAGGGTTTGGGAAAGGCTGGGACAGGCTCCTGGGATTCTGCCTTTCCCTGCAGGCAAGGCTGGACCAAAACAGTGTTCAGGGCAGGGGAATGGGGTAGAAGTTTTAAGCAACATGAACAGTTCTTGCTTGTCAGGTGAGTTTTTTGATGTTATGTTTAATGCAGAGACAGAGCCCAGCTCTGGGTTTGTGTTGAGCTGGGTGATGAGGAGTTCTCAGCCACAACAGGGCTCTGTTCCTGATGGATTTTTGTGTTTTTCCCCATCCAGACTAGATAGCCATGTCAGCCAAAGCCATCTCGGAGCAGACGGGGAAGGAGTTCTTGTACAAGTACATCTGCACGTCCTCTGCCATCCAGAACCGCTTCAAGTATGCCCGAGTCACCCCGGCCACGGACTGGGCACGGCTCACCCAGGACCACCCCTGGCTCCTGAGCGAGGTAAGGACAGCAGGACCTGCCTTCCTGGAGTGCCTGAGCCCTGCTCCGGATCCTTCCCGAAGGACCAGTCACTGCTGCTGCTCTGCCACGGTCACTCCCAACCCTGATGAAGAAACAAGCCTTGCTTCAAGGCTCAGTGTCACCTCGTGGGGGGCTGATTATGCAATTCCTTGAGGGACTGAAACACAGGAGCAGAGAGAGCTGCGAACAAGCTGCTCATAACTGCACAGGAGGTAGAGGAGGCTGATTCAGGCAGAGATGTCAGTCCCTGTTCTCAAAGCCTTGCTGTCTGAAATTAGGGAGTGCTCTCTCCATGGCTGGCTTTATCCAGTGTCCAGTTAGGACACTGCTTAGTTTTCCTGTATCCAGGCAAAATGTCAAGGAAAACTTTTTTTTTTTTCCTTCTTTTTCAGTGCAAGATCTTTTATATCTCTGTGTGTCATAGCCACGCACTTTCTGTAGAGTAAATATATCCAGAGCTCTTTTTATTAGCTGCCCAAGCTGGCTTCTTCCCAGTGGTTAATTATATTAAGTCGTTGGCTGGAGAACATGAATGTCTCACAGTCCTTGACTGACTGACTGATAGAAGCCCTGCACTAATTAAATGTTCTATGCTCAAGTGCCTGAGTGAACTGCAGGAAGAGATCAGCACTGCTTCTAAAAGCCTTGCAGGAAGCCAGAAGGGAGCAAGGATGCTCTGGAGCCTTAAGGCAGGTTCTGTAAGGCTGGAAAGGGCTGCAGGGTCCAGCAGCAAGACCATGCTCAGTGTCCTGTACCTCAACACAATGTGTTCTGACTCTACTCCTGCTGCTGAAGTTCCAGGACACATCAGCAGTACAGGAGAATGGCACCCAGTTCTGCTTTGTTTTTAATCAGATATTTGCAAGCTAGAGATAAGTGTGTAACCCAGGAGCAGCCTTCCATGGGTGTCTTACAGAAAGCTACTGTCAGTTGACTAAAATGTGCATGACCCCTGTCCCTGGCCAGTCTCATAAGCAATGTGTAGTGACAGCAGGAGTTGTTGGGTTTGGGTTTTATTTGTGAGCAACTGACTGTGCCTGCCATGACACTCACATTTTTTTTCATCAAAAAAAGCCAGAACAAACTGTCACCTCAGTCTCTGATGTCTGCTCATGACTGAGTAGAAACAAAGCAGCTTTTCTTGAAGTAAACTGTAAATAAACCTTGCAGGCATGTTGTACGAGGAGCTGGATTTGCCAAGATTAAAGACATTCTGCAAGGATCTGTGCTGTACAGAGCTGATTTAGATTTTTGCTTTACTATCTGCAGAGAACTGCTTGACCAAAGTCCCTTTCTAATGCTTCTTCCTTTGAATCTCTTGCCCAACCTTGTAGCGTTTAGTGGTGAAGCCAGATCAGCTCATCAAGAGACGTGGGAAGCTTGGACTGGTTGGGATTAACCTCACTCTGGATCAGGTGAAGGCTTGGCTCAAGCAGCGCCTGGGCCAGGAAACCACGGTGAGTGTCACCTCAGCAGCAAGGACAAGGCTGCTTTTCCCTGTCTCTCCTGGCCCTGCTGGCGTGTGGGTGTTTCTCTTGCTTCTGGAGGTTTCAAACACGTGTGATGGTGGCGGAAAAAGCAAGTGAGAAACTGTCCCACGTGTGAACTTGCTGCTGGTAAATGAGCCCTGAGAACTGACACACCGTGACAGGGCGCAGAGCCCGGTGCTCCCTGTGACTCTGCTGTCTGTGCAGGGCCGGTGGGAACTCAGCAGGAATTCCCTTCCCCTGGGAGTCAGCTGCTGGTAGCTGGATGCTGTGTTGAGCTGGCTCTGCTGCTTCCCAGTAACACCCAAGACAGTGTAAAAGCTGTCATAAAAGCATCCCCTACTGCAGCCAGCTCGTGTGTTTTGGCTGATGACTGAGTGTTACTTCAGGTCCTTATTTTAACTCAGTGCTGCCCTAATATATTTATTTTCCTGGGAATGGCACTGCAATGCTAATGATAACAAAGTGCCTGCCATCCCTGCTGCCGTGTGTCGGGAGCTGATGGAGTTCTGCTGCCTCAAGGAATTGGTGCCTTTGGCCCTGCTGGGATTGATTTGCTGCTGGCTCCAGCTCTGAGCCGGTGCAGCTGCCTGGAGAATTGGGAAACAGCAGGAACTGCATCTTGTGTGCTGCCCGTTGGGAAAATGATGGATGTGGAAATCACTCCTTTAGCACAATACAACAACCACATCTAAAGCAAGGACTGGGCCACAGGCTTGGGACTACTGGTGTCCTCGGGAACAGGGAGTATCCCCCATGTGTGGGAGCGTCCCTTGAGCCAGGCTGGGGTTTGAATAGCAGGAAAGTGCCTACACAGGGCAGTTCCCAGACCTTGCTCTAGTTGTGTGCCCCTGTAGGAAGGGGATAAAAGGTTGTCTTGCTCTTCCATGCTCCCTGACACCACTTCAGGGCGAGGACTGCTCTGAGGCCTCTGCTCCTGCTACTCAGGAATTCACTCACTTCTGATTTTTTCCAGTGCTCCAAGAGCAGCTCAAGTAGTCACCCTGTGCTGAGCAGGGCTCTATGATGGTGCTGTCTCTGGAACAGGAGGCGAGAGCAGCTGTCCCAGTGTAATTGTGATACCCCTCTGTCCTATGAGGAATGGGGAAGGTGACTGACTCCTGTAACCAGATATCCTTGGTGACAGTGCTGGATGTTGTGCTGGAGCGGGAGGAGTGGTTCTCCAGGAGGCCTGGTGGAGAGGTGCTTCAATAAGAGCAGTCTTAGAGCAGTGCTGATTAATTCTCAAAGCTTGCCTTGTGCTGTCACAAATGTGGAGACTGGACAAGTGGTTATGGGTGTTTGTCTTGTTTTCTGCCCCCAGATTGCTAATGCGAAGGGAATCCTAAAGAATTTTCTGATCGAACCCTTCGTCCCTCACAAACAGGTTAGTACCCCAAATAAAGCGTTAAAAAGGGCTTTTAAATCTCTTTGGACTTGCACACTTAGCTGGATTGGTACAGTGGAGAAGGCAGAAGTTTGGGGGTGTGCTGTTGAGCTCACAGGGTCAGTGCACAGCCTGCACAACCCAAGGCAGTGTCGGGGCCACTCCAGCACTGCTGCTCCTGGGGAAGCTCGGTGGTGGGCTTGGGTGCCCCATCCCTGGCACTGGCACAAGAGCCTCTCCAGGGTCTTCTCTGGGTGCCAGTGGCTAATTTTTGTGTCTGCTCTGTGGTGCAGGAGGAAGAGTTCTACGTGTGCATATACGCTGCCCGTGAGGGAGACTATGTGCTCTTCCACCACGAAGGGGGTGTGGATGTGGGAGATGTGGATGCCAAAGCTCAGAAGCTGCTCGTGGCAGTGGATGAGAAGCTCAGTGAATCAGATGTGAAGAAACAGCTCCTGCAGCACGCACCAGCAGACAAGAAGGAGTAAGTACAGCTGCCAGTTCTGGGCAGGACCAGCCACGCAGCAGCTGCTCTCCTTTATCTCAGTGTCACATCCCTCAGTTCTGCTCACCTCGAACTTCACGCTCCTGCCCTTCTTGCTGCTCTCCAGAATATGCCATGTATCCCGAATCCAAGTTCTCTGACCTTATCTGAGCCTCCTGTGAAACTCAAAATAAGGTTTAGTGCTGAACCTTCACTTGGCAGCAGCACTTCTCAGCCTGCTCAGGTCTCGACCTCTGAGACTGGAGACATGTACTGAATTCTGATCCTTTGTGCCAACTTAGAAGTTTCTTTTGTTTAGTGGAAACAGTGATAAGATGTGGATCTGACTGCTAAGTCAGAACTGCCCTGTCCCTTGCTCTGGCCCAGTCTCCAAAGTTATTCCTGCAGCGTCTCTGTAGATCTCAAGGCTTCTGCATCTCCCTCAATTAGCTGCCCATACCTCATTATCTTAATGTGAGTCATGATTTTTCCAAACACAACGTAATCCCTGCTGGCATCGTGCAGCACTGAAGGGCTGAAGGAGCCTGTCACTCCATCAGTTCACTGCAGCCTCCTCCCCATCACAGATGAGGAAGCTCAGATCTGACAAAGATGGGTATCAGCAGGAAGACAACCAAGTGCGTCTGTCTCCTGGGGAGATAAATCAGATTGCACAGCTCTGACAGTTGTGAGCAACTGTGTCCTCCCAGAGTTTGGTGGAGGGTAATTAGGATGAGTCATCAAGGTCTTCCTTCCCTTGAGTCATCACCCAGGCTCCTTCCAGAGAAGATGAATGAGAATGAAAGAAATTGATGCTGAGTAAATTTGCCACAAATACCAATGGACAGAGCAGGCTGTGCTTAGGTTTGGCTGCTTTCATTAACTTGTGTCACTTTTTTTTTTTTTTTTTTTTTTACAGCATCTTGGCCAGCTTCATCTGTGGCCTGTTCAACCTTTATGAAGATCTGTATTTCACATACCTCGAGATCAATCCACTAGGTAATGGATGTTTTTGGGAACAGAACTTCCTGTTCTGAACTGCTGGAATGTGTTCTTGATCCTTCTCTGGGTTCTGTAGTTCACAACAGCACCAGGTGCCATGTGTAGAAGCACAGAGGTGGCTGTGATGTGTTTTGGAGCTGCTTGTTGAGTGACTTAAAATGAGCGAATGAAAAATTCCATTGAAAGGGATGTTAAGGCAGAACTGAAGAATGTAAAAGTTGCTCTGTTAGAACAAAACATCCCCTGAGGCAGAGCCTGGGCCATGGCCACAGTCACTGGTTAATTCCTCAGGGAACCTGCTGGGGCTGGTAAATGCTGCTCAGTGCTGGGGGGAGCAGCAGTGACCTGGCTTTAGGAATGATCTCTGTGGTATCAGATGTTGAAGTAAACCTGTTACATGTCCTTGTACAAACCACCAGACCAGAGTTAACTTAGTGATGTTTTTCACTGCAGTAGTGACTAAAGATGGTGTTTACATCCTTGATCTGGCTGCGAAGATTGACGCGACGGCTGACTACATCTGCAAAGTGAAGTGGGGGGATGTGGAGTTCCCCCCTCCCTTTGGCAGGGAAGCTTATCCAGAGGCAAGTGACAGCCCAGATTCCTTCCCTGTGGCCTGCAAGATGAATTCCTCAATGCTTATATCCCCAGCTTCCAGTGGTTTTACTGTGTTTCCAACACTTTGGCAGTGCTGCCCATGCTAACCTGTGTACTGGTAGCTGTAGTCCTGGGACTGCTCGTAATCACACTCTGAACTGCAGTCACTTCCCAGCTCTTCTTGGATATTCTTTCAGTTCTTTAATTCAGAACTGACTTCTTTAAATGGAGACTGATACTTAACTTCCCTCAGCTGTGTGCCAGAGCTCTGTACCTGTACAGAGCTTGCTTCTGTGGTTCCCGCCCGTGTTGCTCCCCTCAGCATCACTTTTTTGTGAAGCAGTGGTTACTGGCAGCCTCGTGGGAGCTGTTGTTCCCTCAGTGTGTCAGTGGCAGTTCTGAGAGCAGAGCAGCAGCTGTGTGCAAATGCTGCATCCAAGTGTGAATTCAGAGAAAATAATTACCATCTCTCAGGCTTTCAAGTCAGAAGTTAAGATGTTAATGCACCTGTTTTCCCAAGAAGTGAGGACAAGATGAGACCTGCAGGCAGCCCTTTGTAAAGCCAGCAATGTCTGCTTCCTCTCTGAATTCCCTGGGTCTGTGCTGCTGGATGCACAAGCACTGCTCCAGACAGCTCCCAGCAGCTTCAGAAGCTATTGGAAATAGAGCTTTCTCCTTAGTTATTCTGTTACTTATTTCAGGTGACTGTTCTGCTCTCTCCAAAAGGATTTCTGTCCTGATTTTTTCATTTCAATAATTATAATTATGCTTCAGTTGGAAGGTTTTTGTACCGTGGCCAGGAAATCCATTTAGCTGTTCCTCTCCATGTAGCTTGCTGGATGCCAACACTCAACTCAATTTGCTCTTAAAAGGATTAGTTCAGGTTTTGTCTCTGAATCATCCCTCTGTGAGTGCCTGGGAAGGTTGTTATGGCACAGTCTTTGCTGGGAATGTTAATGAACTCCAATGAAGTGCTGCTCAGCAGCCTGGCACGCTGGGCTGCAGGAGCCCCATGGTGAGCCAAATGGCAGCTCTCAGTGATTACATTCCTGGCTGCAGCACAGCCAGAGTGGTCACCATGGGTGTGATGATTTTTAGATTTTGTCTGGCCTCAGTCTCAGACAAGGTCAGAACAGACTCTCCAGTTCTGTTCAGATTTTGTGACTGGATGGAGAGATGGCACTGGGCCTCTGTCTCTTACAAACATGGTGTCTGTAGCTCTGCTGTCCCTCAGCTGTAGCTGACACCTAGCACTGCCCCTCGGGATGGAAAAGGCAGATGCAGAAGGAAGTTGAGGTTGTGCTGCTCTCCCTGCAGGAAGCCTACATTGCTGACCTGGATGCCAAGAGTGGGGCCAGCCTGAAGCTTACGATCCTGAACCCCAAAGGCAGGATCTGGACCATGGTGGCTGGTGGTGGTGCCTCGGTGGTGTACAGGTAACAGGAACAAGGCTTCCAGAGAAGGGGGTGGATTTAACAGTGCTGGAAGAACATAATTCTGCAGCCTGTGGCAAGCAGACTGTTCTAAAGCTGTTTTTCTCATACTGACATTCGGAATCCCTTTAGAATGAAGGTGCTGTGCAGATTTCTCACCAAGCTGGAACGTAGTGTTCCCCAGGGAATTTAATTCTGGGAGGTTGAGATACAGTTTCTTTTTGACTTGGAAAGAATTGAGCTGGCTGGAGGGTGTTGAGGTCAATATTGTTGCTGTAGTGGTCACTGAGTTCCCATCATATCTAGGGAGTATGACAAGACTATGACTGGCACCAAGGGGAGAGCAGCTTTGTTTTCAGCAGACAGGCACAGTCCCTCTGTTCTGAGTGCTGCTTTCCCAGGGCTTTGGAATGCTTTAAGTCCTTTATAGTGACTCAAGTTATAACTAACCACTTAAATAACTTTTATAGTGACACCATTTGTGACCTGGGGGGTGTGAATGAACTGGCAAACTACGGGGAGTACTCGGGAGCCCCCAGTGAGCAGCAGACCTACGACTACGCCAAGACCATCCTCTCCCTCATGACCCGAGAGAAGCACCCAGAAGGTGAGGGAGATGCTGCAATTCCAAAGCTATGAAGCTGCAGGAAGTTCATATGAAGTTCAGGAAAAACCTGAACAAATGGGGGTTGTTACTCTGCTTAGCCCTCCCTGGCAGAGCTCTCAATGTACTGCTGCCTTCAGAGGGAAGCAGGAATGGATTTTTGTCAGCTCTTCCTTCAGAGGCAGGACTTGTGGTTTTCTGTGGAGCCTGAGAGATTCTTATCAAACATTCTTGCTTGTTACAAAGCTCTTATCTTCCAGGCTCTACTAAACACAACTATGAACAACTGGCTAGTCTGCACTGCAGCTTTGTTTCACTTTGTCCTGAATTGCTTCATGATCTTGGAGTATGCTGCTCTTAAAACAGTTCTATTTACACATGTTTTTCTTCCCTCAGGGAAGATCCTGATCATTGGAGGCAGCATTGCAAACTTCACCAATGTAGCAGCCACCTTTAAAGTAAGTGACCAGTCAGAAGCACCAGCAAACACCCACTTGTCAGCCCCAGGCCTTTCTTCCCAGTTCCCTGTTGGGCTGAGGCTGACAGTCCAACTCTTCCAGGACTTCCTGAGATGATGGGACAGGGTAAAGGTCACCTGTCCTGTGTATTTCTTGTAGGGCATTGTGAGAGCGATTAAGGATTTCCAGGGCCCTCTGAAGGAGCATGAGGTGAAGATCTTTGTACGAAGAGGAGGCCCGAACTACCAGGAAGGGTTACGTGTCATGGGAGAAGTTGGTAAGGACCAAGCTTTTCCTCAAGTTTTGTTCTTGCATCTTATTTCTTCCACCTGCTCTCTGCTGAGCCTTCTCAAGGTTAAATGTTTCCCTTTGGCAGAAGCTCACCTTGTTCCTTCCCCCCCCCCCCAAGGCTGACTACTGCTGTGTGTCTCCACAGGGAAGACCACTGGCATCCCCATCCATGTCTTTGGCACGGAGACTCACATGACTGCGATCGTGGGCATGGCGCTGGGCCACCGCCCGATCCCCAACCAGCCGCCCGCCGCTGCCCACACCGCCAACTTCCTCCTCAACGCCAGCGGCAGCCCCTCGGTGAGTTCTCCCTGTGTCGTGAAAGGGGACAGGGTAGAAATGGGTCTTAGCCACCACTGTATTTGTAGGAAGCTTTACAAAAGCAAATGTGGCTCTGCCCCGCGTGGTTTGAGGAAGGGCCACCCCAATGCCCACCTCGCTCGTGGCAGAAAACGTGACCTCTCAAATCCAGAATGTGACTCTTGTACCTACTGGGTCATTAAGGAGGTTTCCCTTCCCTGACTGAAACAGCCTTATCTTAAAATCAGTTTTCTTTGGTTTTCTTTGTAGCAGACCAGCGTGGCCAAAGTGGCCATTTCCTCCTCTGTGCTCCAGGTGTTCCTGGCTCTGTCCCTCACTGACTTGGTTTCTGAATCTTTCAGACTCCCGCACCAAGCAGAACCGCCTCCTTCTCCGAGTCCAAAACAGATGGTATCGCTCCAGCCAAGAAGGCAAAACCAACAGCACCTCTTGGTAAGTCCAGCCCTGGCAGTGCTCTGCTGCTCCCAAAGGCAGGATGGGCACGAGACAAATGCCTTTTTTTTTTTTTTCTGGACATAAAGGGAAGCAATTTCGTGGTACCTGCCTATCTTTGTCTTGAGTGTAGTTAGGTGGTTTTAGCTGTCACTTGTTTTTTAACAAAAGCAAAACCCAAAAGCCCCAAGTGCTGTGGGGAGGAGGGCAGCTCAGCACCTGCCCACGTGCCCAGCCCTTGGGCTGGCAGCAGCCAGCTCTGTCACGCTGTTGCCTGAGTGATTCTCTCTTTAACAGATTCAATCCCAGCCTCGACACCTGGCTCAGGTAGGACCCGTGTGACCAGCTGAATGTGCCTGGCCTTGCTGGCAGCTGACTTTTAGTTCTTAGTTTTGTGGCTGTCTTTTCTCTCCAAAAGTTTGCCGTGTTGTCTGGTCTTCCCGCCTGCCCAGCATATTTAGCTGTCACCATGTGACCTTCTCATCTGGTTTTTCAAGTGTAAATCACATATGCCTTTGCACAAACACTTTATTTCTGGGGGAGAGAGGGACTGGTCTCAAACTTCAATTTTTCTTCCCTCCCCACAACCATTACAGAGAAGAACAGCCCCAGACACATTGTGAAAAGCTCTGTTACCTTGATTTCCAAAAGGAGGAGTCACTAACTGTGCCCAGTAACTGGCATCTTGTTTCAAAGGGAAGCAAAGTAGTGCAGGGGCCCTGCTTATCAGGCTTGGAAAGTACCTTTGAGATTCTCTTGAGCTCTGTGCTGGGTGAGAATAACCTGCTGAATCAGGGGCAAAGTAGAGCTTCAAGTTACCTCCCTTGTCATGAAGAGGGACAGTAGAAGGGGAATTCTCAGATTATTGCTTGTGTGATCTCAGACAAACAGCATCACCTCTCTGGGCCTGCATTTTACTGTTCCTGGGAACACTCATGCTGCCTCCTTGCAGGCACCTACAAGATAAACAGAATTTTCATGGTAAGCAAATCCCTAATAACAAGTCAAGTTGCAGTTGAATCTGAACTGAGTGTGTAGGTCTGGAGAGCAGGATTCCTTGTTGAAGCCAGTGTCCTGTTTAATCCCTAACACTGTTTACCTTTGATTCAAAGCCAGAAGGAACTCAGCAATAGCTTGAGTTGGCATCAGCAGGTGGACCAGCTCTGAGTTTTTACAAGTTTTAAAACGAATTCTGCTTGGAGACAAAGGGAGGGACCCAACGTTGTGCTGTGACAAGTGGTGTAAATCGACTTTAGGCCAACAGTCCATCCTCACTGGCTGAACTGTTGCCTTTCCTGTGACTCTGTCCACTGAAGCCAAGTTTTGTGCTATATGTAAGTTCTTGGAGCCGTCAAGTTTGTATTGGATTCTGGTCATTAAAAAAAAAATACTGAAAAGAAAAGCTGAGTGCGTTGAGCTCCTTTACTTTTTGTTCCCTCCATTTCCTGCTTTTCTTTTTATTTCCTATTGTTCTTCTGTGGTGCCCTGACAAACCTCCTGTGGGCCACATGCAAATAAATAAATAAAATTCAAAGTTCTCTTCAGCTTTGCAGAAGAAAACTGGGAGTAAGATGAATGGCCCATGAGAGGAGAGGAAGAGGCAGTTTTCACTTCTCTCCTCTCCTACGCCACCCTGCAGTTCACTTGCCCGTTTAGTGAACCCCAAAACCTGGCTGTTGTGTTCAGAATCCAGGGAAAGGGTTGCTGTGCTTCGTTTACAGTTTCTTCCTTAATTTGGACAGTGTGGCTACTCCATCCTGCAGTTCACGTCTTGGTTCAGTTTGGGGGAGGGGACTATGCTCACTCAGGAGCCTTTCAGCAGCCGTTTGGCAAAGCTGCAGTTTGGGTCTTGCTCAGATGTACAGTTTGAACGTGGTTTGTTTCTTTGCCCTCTCTGAGCAGGTAAAGCCACGACGCTGTTCAGCCGCCACACCAAAGCGATCGTGTGGGGGATGCAGACCCGGGCTGTCCAAGGAATGCTGGACTTTGATTATGTTTGCTCCCGGGACGAGCCGTCAGTGGCTGCCATGGTTTATCCGTTCACGTGAGTAGCCTGTGACTGCATCACTTTTGACTGCTTCCCTCCAACTCTTCTGTGAGCTTCCCCCTCTTCCAGTCTCTGTGGTTCTTTAGTGGAGCTCTGCCCTGGACTCCATCCCTGCTGGAACACCTTCTCCTCCGCTCCCTTCCACCCCTGGCTTGGCTTTGCAGGCTGCTCAGTTTCCCTCAACCACTGATTTTGGTCTGTGCTGTTGAAACAGCTGAATGTTCACCACAGAACTGAAGTTTCACTTCATGTGCCTGTCAAAAGGTATCCAAGTTGTGTTCTTTACTCAGTGAGTAAGGCAGGTGTGACTGCCTGGGCTTTCTGTACAGCCCCAGGCTCAGCAGAAGCAGGCAGGCTGTGTGAGGCTCCTTCCCTGCATCTGTTCTTTGACATGTGCTTGTCTGAGACACCTTGATTTGGGCCTGCAGCAGCAGGAATTTCCCCTCCAAATATTAGCCAGAATCGTAGTCGCTCTGCTAAAGCAGTCTGGCTGGTATGTAGCCAAAGAAAATTTTAAAAAAACTAAAATCTTATTTATGCTCTTTCCAATAGCAGCAGTGGTTCCTTAGCAGGCAGGAAGCCCATGGATCCTTCAGTGGGATAGAGAGTTCCCTGGTGGTGTTCACTCTCTTGTACTCATCCCTATGGGGATGCGAGGGACTGTTGAGTGTTTCAAGTTAGCCTCCGGAGGAACTTCCAGAGCATGGCTGTGTGTGAGCTGTTTCATTGTACCCCCTAAACGTGGGGGTCTCGCTGTGTAACAGGACAGGTAGGGAGAAGGGAAGCAGTGGCTGTCACTTCCAGTACAGTGAGGTGGGAGCACAGAGCCAGGCAGGAGCCTTGGTTCATTCCTGTGGTATTTACAGACATCCTGGAGAGCTGATGTCTAATCAACCTCTGTCCTGCAGAGAATTTATCCTCTTGACAATTAAGACCTTGCACTGTTACTCTGCAGCTCTGATGGTAATTGCAGCTCTGTAATAACTTCTCAGCAAGTGCAAACCTCGGGGTGCTGAGTGCAGGCACAGCCACGGGTGAGTGGCAGCCCCTGGCAGAGCTGCAGTTGATTACAGAAGAAAAAGCAATAAGGATTAAAGTTTAAGGCTACCTGTAATTATCTGATTCTGCTTGACCTTTTGGTGGAAGCCAGGCTGGCAAAACCTGGAATGTTCTGTTACGAATGTACCAGTATGGGAACACAGCTGGTATCTCTACACTCTTAAATGACTGCACAGTCAGAGTTAATGCAGGCCTGGTCGGAGCATCTGCTGTGTACAAAATACCTACAGTGAAACCCTCCCAGGTGCTTCCCTTCCAGTGCCTGTGGGGTGAGGAGTGTCTCACTGTAGCAGGATTGGGAAGCTGGCCCTCCCGTTGCTGTCCTGGCTGCTCCCCACAGATGCTGATTTCCCATTTCCCCAGCCTGGTGTTTACTCCAGCCCAGTGATGCAGCTTTGCACACCTCTCATTCATTACTCTTTCTGTGCCTCATTCTGTCTTCCAGCTTGGAGTAGAGTTAAGGCTCTGGTAACTTTGGGAGAGCTTATTCATCTTGCTGGATGCCTCTGTCCCCATTAGCCCGTCTCCTTCCATATGCTGCTCTGTCCTATACTCTGAAGAACCTTCTGCTGTCATATGATCCCTCCCCACACATGCTCACGTGCTCGTGAATGTCTCAGTCAGTCTCGAGGGCTGACACGGGGTTTGTAAACTCCTCTGTCTGCATGCACTGTGTCCCTTTGCCTTTCTAGCTGCCTAAAGGTCAGGGCTTTTCCATCTTCTCCTCCACAGTGGTGACCACAGGCAGAAGTTCTACTGGGGCCACAAAGAAATCCTGATTCCAGTCTACAAGAATATGTCAGATGCCATGAAGAAGCACCCAGAGGTGGATGTTCTCATCAACTTTGCGTCCCTGCGCTCTGCCTACGACAGCACTGTGGAAACCATGAATTATCCCCAGGTGAGCGTGGGATCCAGAAGAAGCCCAAGAGAAGACCCTTTCAGCAGGGTACCAGTGTTTCTTAAACTGTGATGGCATTAGTGAGTTGTCTTGATCTTCCAGCTTGGCAGATAAACACCCCAATTCTAAGCCCTTACAGGCTGTAAGGGAAGGTACTGGGGTTCCATCACAATCCTGATGCTGTGCTTGCAATTAGTGTAAGAGGAACTCGGTACCTCTTGGTTAGGAGTAACTACTTCAGGCTGATTAAAATACAGTGCTGCTCTGATGTGCAAGGGAGAGAAAATTCCCTGACCAGAGCATTGAGACTGCTGGGAAGATTATGACAGACTGTGGATCTGTGCACTGGGCCTTCCTGGATGAGAATGCGTGGAGTGACCTCGCAGGGGCCTGACAAGGGGCAACTTCTGTGGGTACCAATGGTTTTCTTTCTCTTGCTGCAGATCCGCACCATTGCCATTATTGCCGAGGGCATTCCAGAGGCCCTGACACGCAAACTGATCAAGGCAGCTGATAAGAAAGGAGTCACCATCATTGGGCCTGCAACTGTAAGTACTGATGGCTGCCTTCCCCTGTCTTTCTTAACCTTCAGATCAGCTTTTTCCAATGGATGAAGCGCGTCCTACAATTCGCTTTGTTTTTAGTCACAGGAGGTGTGTGTTAGTCTCTCATTTTAAGGTCCTTGCCACCCTCCCTTGTCTGCACAAATGCTGACAAGGCTGCCTTACAGAAACATTCCTCTGTTTCGTGGTGTTTTAAAGGGCTTTACATCTTTCTTGTAGGTTGGTGGGATCAAGCCCGGTTGCTTTAAAATAGGCAACACAGGAGGCATGCTGGATAACATCCTGGCATCGAAGCTGTACCGCCCTGGCAGCGTGGCCTACGTGTCCCGGTCTGGAGGAATGTCCAATGAGCTCAACAACATCATCTCCCGAACCACCGACGGGGTCTATGAGGGGGTGGCCATCGGAGGAGACAGGTACGAGTCGGCATCTTCAGCAGACTCTGGTTTTCAAGTCAGTCAACAGAAGAATCGTTGGTAATTTGGAGGAAGAAGGGCAGGTTGGCTGTTGATTTATTTTTTTTTCCTTCAGAAAAGTTTGTGAAATCAATTTCTACCATTTTCCCCTGTATTGCACACAGATATCCTGGCTCAACTTTTATGGATCATGTCTTGCGTTATCAGGATACTCCAGGAGTGAAGATGATTGTAGTACTGGGGGAGGTGAGTGAGACCACTTCACTCCTACCTGAGAAATACCAGTGTGTGATTTTGTTTTGGGAGCATCTGACCTGCTAAATAGCAGCTACTTATACTGTTCTTGAATATCCCAATTTTTATTTCTTGCTGCTTTTATCAAAAAAAATTGCATGCATTCCACAGGCAAGTTTAGTCTTCACTACTTCAAAAAAAAAAACCAAAATTCAGGAAACTTTGTTCTGAGACTTCAGCTGTTACTTGGTGAAAAAGGAGGGAAAATCCCAGCAACGCCTCCAGTGTGTGTCTTGGAGCTGGTTTCCACAAAAGTGCAGTTTGGAACCATATCTCTCTCCCTGCAGATTGGAGGCACAGAGGAGTACAAGATCTGCAGGGGCATTAAAGAAGGCCGGATCACCAAGCCAATGGTGTGCTGGTGTATTGGTACCTGTGCCACCATGTTCTCCTCAGAGGTACGTGCAAAAAGGGGAAAAACACATAGAATAAGGATAAATCCACGACAGGAAGAGAAACCCAATTCTCTCACTGTGCCTAAACCTTTCGGAATTGCCAGTGGCAACTTTAATGTGCAGAAGTTCATAAATATAAATGATAAAAGCTTTTTGTGCTTCTATGGTGTGTCACAGGAGATTTCCAGGGGATTCTGCTACTTGTGAAGGGAGCCCAAAGTTCCCAGGGAATGCAACAAATTCCAATAGCCACCTGCTTCTGGAGTGGGAATGGGTGCCTGTAGTCCTTACTGTTCTCCCTTCTCCTATTTGTAGGTGCAGTTTGGCCATGCAGGAGCTTGTGCCAACCAGGCTTCCGAAACTGCTGTGGCAAAGAACAAGGCCTTGAAGGAAGCTGGGGTCTTTGTTCCCCGGAGTTTTGATGAGCTGGGAGAGCTCATTCAGTAAGTCACACTCAAAGAACACCTTCAGCAGAGACAAAAGCAGTCAGGGCACTGATTCTGGCCTCATGGGGAATATATTCCTGCTTAAGGAAAGCAGCTGTTACTCATTGTGGGGTTTTAAAGTCTGGGTTAGGACCACCTCGCTTGGATCCCTTAAAAGGACCAAATGGATTCTCTCCCTAGGTCTGTGTACCAGGATCTTGTGGCCAGAAAAGTGATCGAACCAGCTGAGGAAGTGCCTCCTCCAACTGTGCCAATGGATTACTCCTGGGCAAGGGTGAGCTCTTGGGTTCCTTGGAACCAGACAAGGCATTTGCTGGGATTCTGGATGCCGTGTTGGGGTTACACCTTGTGCTTTAGTGTTACTTGTGAGCTCCCCAGCTGCGCTGGTTCTGAGCTGTGGAAGCTGCTCTGAGGGCAAGCCTCAGGCGTTGCTGTTTGCCTGCTCTGCCCGGTACTGCCCTTGGTGCCAGTGTGGGTGTTTAACATCCCATCTTTACGCTGCAATTCCAGGAGCTGGGACTGATTCGCAAACCAGCTTCCTTCATGACCAGCATCTGTGACGAGCGAGGGCAGGAGCTGATCTATGCTGGGATGCCCATCACTGAGGTCTTCAAAGAGGAGATGGGAATTGGAGGAGTTCTGGGCCTGCTGTGGTTTCAGAGGAGGTGAGGCAGCTCTTGTGAAAGATCACAAATTCTTCGGTTTGGAGTTTTCCTTGTTTATTAGTGGAGTTCTAAGCAAAAAAAGTAACTCCAGGATTCCTTTGTGAACGTAGATTCACTGGAATGCCATCTCTGTAATCCCTCCTTTAGACCATGTCAACATTTCAGGCTACATACAATATGTTTTAGTCTTAGGATGGAGTTTTCCACAAGTTTTGTGGTGCATTGAGGAAATTTCTTTGTTCTAGGCCTGATTCACACTTTCTGACTACTTGTTTATTGTGTCACCTCAGCTCTGGAGAGACTGGAGACTTGACAAACATTTTCACTTGTGTTCTGTCCCCTGACTGCCCCGGTGTCTGTGCCCAGGTTGCCCAGGTACGCCTGCCAGTTCATCGAGATGTGCCTGATGGTGACAGCAGACCACGGGCCGGCCGTGTCTGGGGCTCACAACACCATTGTCTGCGCCAGGGCTGGCAAAGATCTCGTCTCAAGCCTCACTTCAGGCCTTCTCACTATTGTGAGTACCTGAGATCCAGGAGGTTTAGCTTTTGTTATTAATTACTCTTATAGGTTCCATTACTATTAATTTAAGATTTGAATTGACTGCAGAGCCATGGGCTGGTGAAATTCACACCTTGAATTTCAACTCTAATAGTCCAGTGCTCTCTGTTTCAAACTGTGTCCATTTTTCCAGTAAGCCAGAACTAGTTTGTCTCATCTGAGTCTAGAAGTATCTTGTAGCAGCCAAATTGCTGTCAGTATTGCCCCTGTTTGGTTGCCTGGTTTCTTCCAAGACTGACAAGTAAAAATGTGACTAAAACAGACTTTGGAATTGCATTTTCCCCCACATCTGTAGCAGAGACATGTTGACTCCATATTGGCACTTGTCTGAGTTAAAACCAGATGCTTTCTCTCATGTGCCTGCCCAACTTTAATGTCATGGGTGTCACAGAGACCAGCAGGGTGGATGGGGGAGATAATCTTGTGTTTGTTTTGTACCTGAACTGTGGAGTCCTTTGCTGCAATTCCCTTTGTGTCCTACACCCAGGGTGACCGGTTTGGGGGAGCACTGGATGCTGCAGCCAAAATGTTCAGCAAAGCCTTTGACAGCGGGATTATCCCCATGGAGTTTGTGAATAAGATGAAGAAGGAAGGGAAGCTGATCATGGGCATTGGACACAGAGTCAAATCGGTAAGAAAACTGTGTTAGGACAAACAGGAGGGAGTTTTACTGAAGGTGAGGAAGAGCAAAAACAAAGGAAAGCAAATTGGCAAGTTTGAGGCAGCTATTGACCAGGTTGTCCCAACCCTACAATGAGTAAAACTGATGTCAGGTACCTGTGTAAGAGGCAACGTCAGTGACTGTGACATGCTCTGAACCTGCAGATAAACAACCCCGACATGAGAGTTCAGATTCTCAAGGACTACGTGAAGCAGAACTTCCCAGCCACTCCACTGCTGGACTACGCACTTGAAGTAGAGAAAATCACAACTTCCAAGGTGAAAGACGCCAGCACTGAACTGCTCTGAGGACTGGTTCTCTTGGGAGGGAAAGTGACTGAGGTTCACAATGTATTTTAAGTGCAATGCTTCAGAAGTTGTTCCTGGGGGTTGTGTTTCTGTGGTAGAGTTGAGGCCATTTACAGCTGCAATTAGGAAAGGCTTTAAGGTGTTTGGATACCAGGAAAATGCTGAACAAGCCAAACCATCATCTCTGTGGCCACTGTCCACACTGGCACTGCTGGATGTAAATCCAAGGCCATTGGTACGCGTGTTGGGCCATGGCAGAGAACCTCTGTGGCTTGATCCAACAGGCCCCTTCTTTGAGGCTGGTTTTCCAGCATTCCCATTTAAGAGCCTGTGGCTCTTGCTCAGGCTGCTGAGCTGCCTCTCCATCGCTGGGCTGGTGTGTCCCCAGTTACAGGCAACCGTGAAGTCACCCTTGGCATGGAAGGTGCCAGGTGAACACCATTTGCACTGTTAACATCTTCATTGGGGTGTTTTCATTTCCTGCAGAAACCAAACCTTATCCTGAATGTAGATGGCATTATTGGAGCGGCCTTTGTTGATGTACTCAGGAATTGTGGCTCTTTCACACGGTGAGTAGGGAGGGGGCTGTACTTGGGTCATGGTCCTATAAAGTGATGGGAGCTGCCCTGCCAGCTCCTGGGGGGCAGGATTTCAGGACACTGGGAAGGAAACATAGCCTAGCCTTGGGGGCAGAAAGCTGTCACATGAATTCTTGTGGCTTCTGGCACTAGAGCAGGTTCTCAGCCTATCTGACATTGATTCCTTAAATAGATCACTACCAGGAGCTATTTAATTTCCTTCCTTTTGCAGAGAAGAAGCAGATGAATATATTGAAATAGGGGCTCTCAATGGCATCTTTGTACTGGGCAGGAGTATGGGATTCATTGGTGAGTTTGCCACGTCCCCACCCCTTCCCATCTCCTTTCCAGGCAAACCTGAACCTCGGGGGGACTCGGTGTACTCCAGAACTTCAAGTTGTTCCAAGGCAAAGACGAGGAGGAGGGATGGGAATTCTGTAACAGAAACTATTGTCATTTCAGGACACTACCTGGACCAGAAGAGATTGAAGCAGGGTCTGTACCGTCACCCGTGGGATGACATATCCTATGTCCTACCAGAGCACATGACCATGTGAGAACCTGGTGTTGCCCTGGAATGTCACTGCACGAGGACAGAAGCCTGTCCAGGGGACAGCCACGGTGGGACTGTGTTGTCTAAAAGCCCGTTGGGACAGAGGCGTCGAGCTGCCTGGTCAAACTGTGCAAAGTGACTGTTTTATAAGAATAGAAACTTACTCTAATAAAACCAAAACTTGTGCTATTCCCTCTGTTACCTGCTGTATTTAATACTGTCTCTCACCGGTTTAGTTTTTCTACTCTCTCATTTCATTTTGTTTCCAGAAAAGATTAAGGGTTTTGGGGAGAAAGTTTGGCTCATGGGCACAGTCTTATGGAACATTACTCTGGTAATATGAAGGGGAATGTGCCCATCATTCCCATAAGCCATGACTTAGGCTATTTTTTTTTTTTTTAACTGTATTCTCATCCTTGGTCTGATTGTACCTGAATATTGGGACCACTGCTGATGTATAACCAATGTTACTCAAGCGCTGGTGTAGTAATTTAAACTGTAAAGTTGTAACATACTGCTGTGAAAACTGTGAAATCCCTGTACTCCGGTGTCTGTATTTATGCAAACAACTTCTTTCCTCTGCTGCTCTGTGCACTGTCACTCATGTTACCTGCAGCTGCAAAAAATATCTCAGTAATAAGTTCAGCGTCCTCCTTGTCTGTGTATTGTAACCGAACTCAAATAAATACACGCTACTAATTTATTCTTTTCCATTTGTGGCTTCTGAAAGTTGGTCCTAGACACTGTCTGAGGGGTGTGACGAGCTGGGAACCAGTCACTTAACAAAACACTGCACCTCAAAGCAGTTACTCCTTAGAGACTGTATTTCAGATGATTTAAAAGGGGGGAAAAAACAAACTCAAAATACATACATGTACCCTCCCATGTTTCAGTGTAGGTCAAAAAGATGAAATTTAGCAAAGCAGAAAAGAAACAGAAGGAAAGAGACTAGTTATAATTGACATGGCATTATACAAGAGTTAGGGAACTGCGTTGTGTGAAAAGCAAACATGAAATAATCAACTGCAGCTCACTTCCTTCTTATTAACAAAAAACCCTGTGTAGTTGGAAGGTGAAATCCTTATTCCTCAAGTGCAGTCTCTTCCCCGCAGCCTGCTGGGGGAGAGCAAGAGTAAGGAGGAAAAAATGATCAGAAAGATGCCTGAGGCTCTGTGTGGAACCAGGTGTGTGTCTGGTTTGGGTACCTGAGCAGAACCAGGTGTGTGTCTGATCTGTGGTACCTGAGCGGAACCAGGTGTGTGTCTGGTCTGTGGTACCTGAGCAGAACCAGGTGTGTGTCTGGTCTGTGGTACCTGAGCAGAACCAGGTGTGTGTCTGGTCTGTGGTACCTGAGCAGAACCAGGTGTGTGTCTGATCTGTGGTACCTGAGCAGAACCAGGTGTGTGTCTGGTCTGGGTACCTGAGTGCCCAGAGGGAGCGCGGTGCCCGCGGGCCGAGGCTCCGGCAGCACCGGGGCGCTCCCATGGCGGAGAAGCACCGGGGGCAGGTTGGACTGAGGGGATTGCGGGTTCGGGGCGGAGGGACGGGGGTCCCGGGCGGTCCCAGGCGGTCCCGGGCGCTGCGCTACTCCCGCCCCCCTCACGGCGCCGCCGCCATTTCCCTGCAGCGGCGCCCCCTCCCCGCCAGGGGGCAGTGCCGCGCCCTGCCCGCCGGCTCTGACAAGATGGCGGCGGCCGCTGCAGCCCCACAGCCGCATCCCGGCCCCGGCCCGGGCCCGCCGGCGGCCGAGGCGGAGCGCGGGGGCCCGCGCGGCGGCGGGGCGGACGGGGAGGCCGAGGCGGAGGAGTTCGGGTGCCCGGCGCACTGCTCCGACCTGGCCTGGCGGCAGAACGAGCAGCGTCGCCAGGGCCTGTACTGCGACATCACGCTGGCGTTCGGCGGCGCGGGCACGGCCCGCGAGTACCGGGCGCACCGGTCCGTCCTGGCCGCTGCCACCGAGTACTTCACGCCGCTGCTCTCGGGGGGCTTCGCGGAGTCGCGCTCGGGCCGCGTGGAGCTGCAGAAGTGGAGCTCGGAGGGCGGCCCCGACCCCGAGACGGTGGAGGCCGTTGTCGGTTTCATGTACACGGGCACCATCCGCGTGAGCCCCGGCAACGTCCACGAGGTGCTGGAGATGGCGGACAGGTGAGGGGGCCAGGGGCTGGGGCGGGGGATCGACAGGTGAGGGCGGCCGGACCGGGGCTGGGGGTGCCGCGTCACAGCATCAGTGGGTCACAGACTGGTTTGGGTTGGAAGGGACCTTAAAGCCCATCCAGTCCCACTCCCAGGGCCACCTTCCGCTAGACCAGGCTGCTTCCTGGCCTTCCAGCCCGGCCTTGAACACTTAACACTTGCAGGGTAACTTGTAACAGGGTGTTCCTGTTCGTTTGTCCTGCAGGTTTCTGCTGACACGCTTAAAGGACTTCTGTGGAGAGTTTCTGAAGAAGAAACTGAACCTCTCCAATTGCGTAGCGGTTCACAGCTTGGCCCACATGTATTCCCTGAACCAGCTGGCCCTCAAAGCACAGGATATGATCAGGAGAAACTTCCACAAAGTCATCCAAGACGAGGAGTTCTACACTTTGCCGTTTCACCTCGTCCGGGACTGGTTCTCGGACTCAGAGATCACAGTGGACTCTGAAGAGATCCTCTTTGAGACTGTTTTAAAGTGGGTTCAGAAAAATCCTGAGGAAAGAGAGAGGTACTTTGAAGATCTCTTTAAGCTGCTGAGGTTGTCTCAGATGAAACCCACGTACCTGACTCGCAACGTCAAATCCGAGCGGCTGGTGTCGAGCAACGAGGCCTGTGTGAAGTTGGTGTCCGAGGCCGTGGAGAGCCATGCCCTGCGCTCTGAGAACCTGCAGTCCGGGAACCTGCAGCATTCCGCCTGTCCCGCCGCGCTGCTGCCGCGCTTCGGGCAGAACATGGATGTCATCATCGTCATCGGCGGCGTGTCCGAGGGCGGTGACTACCTGAGCGAGTGCGTGGGCTACTTCATCGATGAGGACAGGTGGGTCAACCTGCCACACATCCACAACCACCTGGACGGGCACGCCGTGGCCGTGACTGAGTCCTACGTGTATGTGGCTGGCTCCATGGAGCCGGGGTTTGCCAAGACTGTGGAAAGGTACAATCCAAACAGAAACATTTGGGAGCAGGTCTCGAATCTAATCACCAGAAAGCATTCCTTTGGCCTGACTGAAGTGAAGGGCAACTTGTACAGTATTGGTGGGCACGGCAACTTCAGTCCAGGCTTTAAAGATGTGGCCATTTATAATCCTGAGCAGGACAAGTGGCAGAACCTGGAGTCGGCACCCAAGATCCTGCGGGATGTCAAAGCTGTCTCCGTGGAGGACCGGTTTGTGTACGTGGCCGCCCGCACCCCGGTCGACAGTGACAGCGAGGACGGGCTGAGGGCCGTTATTACCAGGTATGACACTGAAACCAGGCAGTGGCAGGACGTGGAGTCCCTGCCCCTCATCGACAACTACTGCTCCTTCCAGATGTCCGTTGCCAACACCAACTTCTACCACACGGCCTCGTGCTGCCCTAAGAGTTACCCCATCGACAACGAGGAGGCCAAGGGAAAGATCTCTGGCAGGGCCTCAGATGAAATCCTGGAATCCTTGCCCCCCGAGGTCCTGAGCATTGAAGGAGCAGCCATTTGTTACTACAAGGACGATGTGTTTATCATCGGGGGGTGGAAGAACAGCGATGACATTGACAAGCAGTACAGGAAGGAGGCCTATCGCTACTGCGCTGAGCGCAAGCGCTGGATGCTCCTGCCCCCGATGCCACAGCCCCGCTGCAGAGCCACCGCTTGCCACGTGAGGATCCCCTTCAGGTGCCTGCAGGGAACACAGAGGTACCCCATGCCACAAAACCTGATGTGGCAAAAGGATAGAATAAGGCAAATGCAGGAAAGGCAGATGCAGGAGATCCACCGACACTCCCTGACCTTACGGAGAATGCCACGCTCCCAGATTGAGTGCTAGTGTCTGGAATGCCACTCCTGATGGGCCTAGGAAGTAAACCCTTTTGTTAGGCTTGATATGTCTTTATAAGACATGAGGGTGTGGATTGGATTTGATGCATAAAACCAGCATCTTTTGTGTACTGAAAAGTCAGAAGCTCAGAAGTTGAGGATGGGTGGGAATTGAGATGCTCTGTGAATCCAGCAGTATTCCTTAATGGTGCCTAGGGAGAAGCTGTAGCCTGTATCGGGCTGTGAAATGTCTCCGGGTGCGTTAAGCCTGTTACTTCTCTCCTCGGGTCTTTGGTTCCAAGGGTTTCTGTAGAGTTAATCTCTAACAGTTCTCCTTTGAAAATCAAAGATCTCTCTCTTAATAATTTAGTGGTTACATTTGTGTGTGCTTGAAAGCACCTTTTTATTTGCACTTATCTCTTGACATTCCTTTGATTCTCTCCTCAGTGACTAAACTTCACAGGATTGGTGTTGGTGTACTTGGCTTTCCCAAGCTGGAGGCAAGTGCAATAGTTCTGTATGAAACAAAAGCACAATCTTCCTTTATGAAATTGCTTCAGGATGTTTCTATGTGTATTAAATATTTTGTATCTGTGCGTTGTAGAGAGGCTGCAGAGTTTGTTTATAAGTGGATGATTGATAGGACACAAGACACAGGAAGAGAGAACTTGAGGCAGTGGATTTTATTTCAGGTGTATCTGCAGGTTTGAGTCTGTGTTTGACAGCTTTGTTAGAAACTGGAGTCTAACAGCAGCCTGAGACAAGGAGTGACAACCAGTGTTGAACCACCCACCCACACTGGCTGTTCATTTCTGTCAGAGTGGAGCAGTGAGAATGGGATTATTCCATGGGAATAGAGTGAAACCTGAGCTACACGTAGATCCTTTCTCAAATGTTGCACATGTTTTAATTCTAGTGAAAAGTGATGGAAGAGCCCCTGCTGTTCCCAGCATGTCTCTGACAATCAGAACCCTTTGCCTTCCATGTGCTGTCCCGAGGAATTCCCAGCAGCCATACTGCAGCTCCATAATGAGCCCACACGTGCTCCTCTGGCAGGGAGAGATGGGTTTTCAAAGTCTTCAAATATCTGAATTTCCCCACTTGCTGTGGGGGTGAGATTTAAGCTCATTTAAACACCTTTTGGCATTCTGAGGTAATTTTACATCCAGCTGCCCTGGTTGACTGTGTGTTTCTTCCCACTGTACTCCCAGGGAATAGAATGTGGAGTATTCCCTTTGAGCTGTCCCACTGAGCGCTCCTGCCCAATCCGAGGATCCTATAGTTTACCAGCAGTTTCAGTGCATCCTTCCTACCTCCTTTTCTCTCCATCCTTCCCTTCTTTTGAATGTTCCAGGTTTTCCCAGCAGTGTAACTCAGGATCTTAGGGAAGGGAATGGGAGGAGTAATCTTGGTGTTCTGAAATCTGTGTAGACAAACCTTGTTGGAGAATGTGTTACTGTTCTTGGTTCCTTGATATTTGCTGGTGGTTTTGATGTGGGCATCTTCACTGCAAAGAACTTGTAACCAGTTTGGGGTTTGTTTTGTTTTTAGTTGGTTTGCTTTCTGAGCTGCTCCTCCTCCTTTTCCAGTTCTTCAGGCAGCCCAGATCGTATCTGAAACTTGGGGTAAGTCCTTCCACCACTGTGTGTAAAGGTTTCTCTGATGTGTATGTTCCTTAACGCACTACTTTGCAGTTCATGGGCCACTTTGGTATCAAT